TACTGAAGTACAAGTGAATTCATTTGTTATTGCATAATTGCTACATATTGTTCCAGCACCATTTGTTGAAAAGACTTCCCATTATTTGCTGAATTATGTTTGCATCTTTGTCAAAAATAGATTGTCCATATGTGTGTAGGATTTAATTTTGTAGTCTGTTCCACTAATCAACTTGCCTTTCCTAAAGTCACCAAACCAAGCCTGCGGCTCCAGTAAAGTTCAAAGCCTGGTCTTGTATGGGCTTATGTGTAAAGAATGACTTTTACACTTCTAAGTTATAAAGAAAGAAGGAAGAAGAAAACATGACGTGGACTATATACATCTTGAAAAGCCTAAAGTACTTACTTTCTGGCCCTTCTAATCCTGGTCTATAGTGATACCAGTACTACATGTCTCGATTAATATAGCTTTATAATGTATTTTTCAAGATTGTTTTGCCTGTTCTTGGCCTTTTCCATTTCCATATGAATTTTAGAATTATTTTGTACATTCCTCCAAAAACTTTGTGGTATTTTGATTTACATTGTATTGAGACTGTAGAATAATTTGGGGGAAATGATATTTTAGAAATATTGAGTGTTTTAACTTGTAAACAAAGTACTTTTATTTCTTTTAGATATTGTTTGATTTCTCTCACAAACATTTGTAGTTTTTAATGTGCCAGCCTTTCATATTTTTGTCAGATTTGTCCCCATATAATTGTGATGCCATTGTAAATTGCACTTTATTATAATTTCCAATTTCTACTTCTTCCTTGTTAGCATATAAATATACAACTAATTTTTTATTTTTATATTTATCATGTGTCTTGCAACATTCATGAGGTCATTCACTTGCATTAGCTAGTGGCTGTTTTGTGTACTTGGTATTGTGAACACAGTTTATTTTAGGCTTTTCAAGATAGATATATGGTCCCTGTCATATTTTCTACTTCTTTCTTTTCTTTACATCTTAGAAGAATAAAAGCCATTCTTCACACATAGCCCATACAAGACCAGCTGTGAGCTTCACATTGGAGCCCCAGGCTTGGTTGGTTAGGTGACTCCAAGAAAGACAAGTTGATGAGTGGAACAAAAGTAAGATAAGATTGCCTCTTCTTTTCCTACTTGGATACCTCTCATGGTTTTTACCTGTTCCTTTGCACTGGCTAGAACTCCAATACAATATTGAATATAAGCTATAGCAACAAACCTCCTCCTTTTTATTGATGTGAGGGAAATACTCGTTACCCACCATCATTCATGACGGTAGCTGTAGGGTTTCGGTAGATGCTCTTTGTCAGGCTCCAGGAAGTTCCCTTTTCTTCCTTGTTTACTAAGAGATTTTATGAGGCAAAGATGCTGATGCCATTTCTGGGTTTTCTGAAATGATCAACATCACTGGTTGCTGTTAATGCACCCTTTTCTTCTGGGAAGTATGATCCATCATGATCCTTTCCTTTCTGTATTTTGTTGAATTTGATGGTTATTTCCTTCCACTGTCTTTGGTTTTGGTGTCAGGACAGTTCAGGTGTCAGTGGATGGGAAAGTACTACTTCAGCTTCAGTTTTCTGGTTGACTTGGTGGTCTATCTTCCTTGAGTATTTGGTAGGATTTATCAATGAAGCTCATAGACCTGGGGTTTTCTTTGTGGAAAGGTTTTTCACTTAAAACCTTTTCTATTTTTCTTAAATGATCTCTGGTACTTTTATCTTTTGAGGAAATTGTCCATTTCATCTGTCATTAAGTTTATTGGCATTTTGTGGAATTGTTCATAATATTCCTTTTTTTTCTTTAATATTCCTAAAATTTGTACTGACATGACCTTTCTCATTATTGATAATTACATTCTTTTTCTTTTTGGTTCTTTATCTGAAAAGTCTGGCTAGATGTCTATCAATTTCATTGATCTTAAAGAACTAGCCTTTAGTTTAATTCACATTGTTTATTGTGTTCAAGCTTTTTATTCTTTTTTTGAGTTTCTTATGGTGGAAAAGCTGGGAACATTGATCTGAAATATTTACTTTTCTAATATTGTTTAATGTTATAAATTTATCCTAAATTACTATTTTAGACTTGCCACATTTTGACAAATTCTTTCTAATTTTTCCTTTTAATACTATGTGGGCAGAAAATGTACTTAGTATCACTTCCGTACTTTTAAATTGTATGAAACTTGTCTTATGGTCCAGACCTTGGTCTGTCTTGATAAATAGTTCTTATTTATGTGCTTAAAAAGAATATGGTTTCTGTTGTTGTTGGAGAAAATGTTCTGTAAATTTTGATTATAGTTGATAGATGATTGAATTCTTCTATATCCTCTATTTTTTTTTTCAGTACTATGGATTGAACTCAAGGCCTATGTGTGCTATGCCAGCATTCTACCACTGAACTACACCCTTAGTCCTTAGTTATTTTTGAGACAGGGTCTCACTGTGTAGGTTGGCTGGCCTTGAACTTGTGACCTTTCTCTTCCTGCCTTCTGAGTGCTGTGATTGCAGGTGTGGGCTACCACCACACCTGGTGTCTGTATGTTCTTGATTTGTCTATTTACTCATCCTATCAATTACTAAGAAAGGGGCACTGATATCTCCAACTATAATGGTGGGTTTCTCTTTTTCCTTTCTGTATATGAATTTTTACTTAGTTTATTTTTAAGCTTTTTATTAGGTACATAAGCAGCTGAAATTGTTTTATTCAGTTGATGAATTAACTTTTATTATTATGGAATATTCTTCTCTGTGAGATGTATTTTGTCTGATATTGACATAGGTCCAGCTTACTTTTGATTGACTTTGAATTGTGTTTCACCCTTATAAGCCCATCATAAGTCAAAAATCAAAAATGCATGAAATATACATAACTTACTGAATTGCACAGGTTAGTAGCACAGGGCACTATGGGATGTGGAATGATACCAGCTTGATAGCATGGTTAACTGAGAGTTGAAGCTCCCAGCTACTACCCAGCAACACGAGAATATCATGGAGCTTATCGCCAGTCTCGCCAGGAAGTGATCATAATTCAGAATCTGAAGTACAGTTTGTACTGAATGCTACCACTGTGAAGTGGAAATCTTGTAAGTTTGAACCATCATTCATTTGGAGACCATCTGTATCTAACTTATCACAGTCTCCCTTTGACACTAGACCAATTCTTATATAGGATAAGAATTTTTCAATTGCATACTTCTGCTTTCCCACTCTTTGTATGCTCTTCTTGTGCACAATTTTACTTTTATGTATGTTTCATACACACACATATATACACGTATACACAAACATATATGTGTGTTTACATATATATATTACACATATGGGATTTGAACTCAGATCTTTGACTTGCTAGGCAGGTGCTCCACCACTTGAGCTGTGCCTCCAGCCCTTATGTATGTTATAAACTGCATGCTATATTATTAATTTTTAGTGTAATTATCTTTTGAAGAGATTTAAATAGTATGAAACAACATGTTTTGAATTAGTATTTCTAGTGTTTTTCATCCTATGCAGATCTGAATACCCTCATGTTCTTCTGCTTAAAGAACTCCCTTTCACATATTTTGTAGTGTATATCTCCTGATGATCATTCCTTCAACTTTTATATATCTAAAAAAGGTATTTTATCTTCATTTTAAAAGACAGTGTAATTGTAATCTAGGTTGATAGATTTTTTTTCTTAGTCAGTACTTTAAAAAACAATTCCTCTATAGTGATAATTGAATTTTTAAATGAGAAAAAACAGCTATTATCCTAATCCTTTTCTTTGGTAGGTAATGTCTGTCTTCTCTGGATGCTTTAAAAAATTTCTTCAGTGCTACTTTTGATCAATTTTATAGTGACCAGTGTTGGTGTAGTTTTCTTTATGTTCCTTGTACTTACAGTTTTTCGATCCCCTTAGATTTGTGGGTTTATAACTTTCATCACTTTTGGAAAATTTTTTGGCCTTATAAGACTGTTTTGATTACCCTCAGTTAATCATTTTCATCATCTCAGAATTTCCCTTAAAATTATGTTCTAGGTACTAAGGAAGACAAAGTTCTTGAAGTAACTGAAGTTACTACCAAGAATCTAATGTTTGGAGTTTCAGGGTCTGCTTTTGACATTTAGAACCAAACACTGTTTTCATTTTCATACTCTGGGATTGGTGAGGTTTTTAACAAAGGTAGATACAGAGGTGTTGAAATCTGATGTTTTCCCTGTTGGCTTTGCTACCTTCTGAGACTTGTGGCAGGTAGAGGAAAGGTAAATGACCATTTACCTCCAGCCATAGATGGTGGCCTCTCTAGTCTTGTGGGACTCTCAGGTCAGAGCCCCTACTAAGGTTCCTGAAGGTCTAGCTACATCTTCCCAATATTGGATTTTTATGGAGGCCACCATATTGTCGAAGTACAAAGTTTAGTGCTAAGAAGTGTAGTTGTTCACTTTGTCCCCATTCTGTCATGTAGGTAGCTATGTACAGGGGACAGAGAAGAGTCTTAAGTGTTCATCTGTTGGCCCTCAAGTAGAGGGTTACTCTGAATTTAATTTACATTTGTAATAGCTACTGCAGTGCTCCTCAGGCAACAGTGGAGCCCCAGATTATATGATGTGCCAGGTACAGGTTTGTGACTAGTAGGATGGCTGTCTAAAAACCATTATCTCACCAGTACATTTTTATTCTCTTCCTTTTTAATAAACCAGCTCTGACAGAGGAAAAGGAATCTGTGCTGTAGCTCACATTTCTCATGTTAGGCATATTTCAGCCATAAACTTAATTATGACAAGAATTTTCAAATGACTCCAAGTTTTTCTGCACTTGGTATCAGAGGATACCAAGTTCTATTTTTGAGCTGATAAAATCCTCCTTCTGAAAGCATTTGTTTATTATATTACAGCTCCACATGAGCTGAGCTCCATCCTGACCTCATGTTAAGTGTCTGTGGTAGATTTCATTACATCCATATACTGGAAGTCCTGCCAATATACTGGCAGCAAAATCCTAGTGGAAAATAAATGGCAATAAAAAAGAGAAATGATAGCCGCGTGAGTGGTGAGGAGCACAGCTTTATTGAGACTGGACAACCCCGGAGTAGTGACTTGGCATGCAAACATGAGCTTAAGAGAGTGTGAGTGAAAGCTGATATTGGAATAACGATTCTGTGGCACAGACATGGGAATAATTTAATTAATTGCACTGAAATTTCTTTGATGAATAGTTATGTGGTGATAAGCATGAGGTCGAACAGCAGAATGAGTCTCAGCTTTTTAATGGGCCAGCACAGCTGCAGTTTTGGATGCCTTCCCACTTTATTTTTGCCTGCAGCTCTCCACCGTGTTACTCAGCCACATCTCTCCAGCTAAGCACACCCCTCGCGGGGCTCCCTCTCTGTGTCTGCAGAGCTGAGGAGCAAGTATATTTGGCCATGGAAAGCAGGCTTGTGACTGCTTTGAAATGAAAACCAGATCAAACAAAAATTGTGGATGGTTTCCTTATGATGACTGCACTTCCCCTCCTCCCTGGATCTCTAGGACACTTTGACAGAGTCTTTTCTGCTAAGTTGTATGAAGATTTTAATAAAAATTTCTTGTCCCCAGAGAAGGAGGCACGTCTTTGTTGTCAGAGTGCTAGAGAGAAATGAGCAATGCAGCCCAGCTGGAGCACCGGCATTAATCCCATGATTCCGAGCCCGTATTTTCAGACAGATCAATTACTTATGGCTGTAACCAATCTCTCACCGTTGTCTTGCTGTGCAGGGCTCCATTTGCAGACTTGGCAGCTGACACAGCCTTCCAACTTGATAGGACTTCAGCTGCAAATCTCTTCAGGTTGGCTGCCTCCATCCACTGAAGTTATACAAATGAGTTGTTAAATAAAAATCAAAACTCAAAAATTGTGGGCTGTAATCTCCACTTGGCTCAGTAACACTCATGGATCTAGGCAACATTTGCATTTGGATTTTTTTTTTAAAGCAAGATGGATGATTCAGTTGTCTGACTTCCTTCACTTTTATGGACAGGCTTTGCATGAGAGGAAATCTCTCTCTAGAGGGAAGAAATTATCCACAGTGGATGCATTTCTTATCAACTTCTAAGTTGAAAGATTAACTCAGGAATGGAGAGAAAAGAGCTTATGAGGACCCACGAAGGGCATGTACAGGTGAGCTGTGTCTAATGCATTTCATACAGGGTGAGTCACCCCTTTTCAGCTGTTGGGCTGCCTGGGCTTAAGGCCAGGAGATTCTGTATCAAAGAGAAGTGACCCTTGCTAACACACAGGTGGTGTGGACCATGTAAGCTGTTTAGAGAGTGTATCAGTGTGTGAATGCAGCACCTCTGTGATGGAGCCAAGCTCAATGGCCTCTAAAGCCTTTACCCAGAATTTATTTAGTGCCTGTGAGTCATAATGACTTGTTATGGGTGTTGAACCTTCACAGTTATGTCAAGTCAGCTCAGCCTTCCTGGAAGAAGTCCTTGGGGTCCACATAAAGGAAATCTGAGGGTTCTTTTGTGATCTGACTCACTTGAGACACATAGATATGCATCTGTTGGTAATGTGCCTCTCTCCAATGTGTGATTCTTTGAGAATTTTCTCCTTTCCCTTTACCCTCTGTGAAAACTTTTTAGGAAGAAGAAATGAAACCATGGACCTATAGAGACTGCAAATGAGTTTATGTTTAACCTAGGGGATTGTTCATTTGTGTATATGAGTGTGTACATGTGTGCCCCAAGGGCTTTCTACGTATTGGTACGTGCTTTGAAAACCTCTCACATGGAGTCCATTAGTGGTTTCATTTTGGAACAGGTATTCATGAACTCTGTTAACAATGATGCAAGTCCCCGCTGGTACAGGCTAACAACCACAGTTTCTCCTTGGGCATGTTGTACTACTTCAGATCAATTTTAAAGGAGCAAAAGAAGCACACAGAACATACTTATTTGATTTGAAAGTTAAAAACCTGTCCGTGTCTCTGTTCTTCTCCTGTTCCCGCTAACCTTTCCTAGGGATCCAAAGGGAGTTGTAAACACAAATCAGCATGAGACACTGCCACAACTCTTGTCCAGCTCTGGACTTGGTTTTTCGTGGATATGCATTTTGTTCTGATTCATTAAGCAGCATGGAAAGGAGTCATTGGTAGTCATGCATGACAGCACCCCTTCCTCAGAGCTTGCCAGCAGTTAAAAGTTTGTGAGGCAATAAGAAGTAAAAGGGAGGTGAGAGTTATAGTTAGGGAGTTCAAGTTGCTTTTTTCCTCCTTGGAATATTGCCCATGATATTAGAGGTTCTTTGGTGGAAGAAAGTGCAGTGGTTGCTTGGAGAAATTATAGATACTTTCCAGCAGTCTCGGGGGAAAGAAAGGGCTTAGGAGTCTGTAAGCCTCCTCCCCTGGCTGCAGTTAGGAAGCCAGTTGACAGTATAATAGGCTTTTGGAAGTGGGTGCAGTGGTTTGTGTGTTCTGTTTGATGTTGCAAATACCAAGCCCTCAGGGAGATCTGCAAAGAGGATATTCTGTTCTTAAAGAAAGGAGAAGATTAACCTGAAACATGAACTGAAGAACTCCTGAATTCTAAAGGACTTAGGTGCACCCAAGGAAGGATCCCATTTGCTGTGTGGAGGCATCATTTAGCAAGCTGCCTGCCACAGACACACAGAGTTGGGCAGATATTTCTTAATGATTTTGACTGATGAAAAACTATTACCAGCACACATGAGAGGATTAGACCACAGATTAACGGTGTATGTGAGTGTACGTGCACATGCATGGGTGTGCGTATAAGTGTATGTGTGCGCATGTGTGTGTGGTTAAGACTTTCTTTTGATGGACTCATGCATATTTATAGAATCATAAACGTCCTGTAACTCCATGTGCTTCTTGGAGCCTGCCTAATAAGCCCTTTCTTCATGTTCAGATCGTGCTTCTGGCCTGTAAGGGGAGGTATTAAGCCAAACTGCTCATTAAGCCAGTTCTGTCATCGTAAGTATACACGCTTACTACTCCATGCCACCTACTATGCTAGGTACAAGGGATGTGATGGTTAAAATTAAAAAGTGCACACAGTTTTGGCTCTAGTGCAGTTTATAAGCTGTTAGAGAAACAGATTAAACAAATAATCATTCAATTATACACCTACAATTTTTATACTGGCTTTGTATTCAATAAAAATTTGTTGAGCCCTCTCTATGCACTGAACTCTGACAGGCTTTTAAAAGAAACAACAACATCTGTTCAAGTCAGTGATTTGCCCTCACCAAAGAAGAAACTGGTCTTGTTTACTTATGGAATTGAGCAAAGCCCTGATCTATGTGGGACGTGTACTTTAGCTCTGGATATTGATTTGGCACATTGTGATAAGGACAGCAGAATGTTGTCTAGAACATTATGTTGTGCTCTTCCACATAAGCCTTGATGTCCCCACAGAAGGTCCAGGTACAGCTTTACCTGCTTCTGTGTGAACTGGGACCAGTCATCCTGTTGGAGACAGTTTCACAGCTGCAAGATGGGGGCAGCTGTGCTGATCCATAAGGTTGGGAAGGGGACCGGAATTGTGTGTATGGACACACCTCATGAAGGAGTGCCTCATTGTTTGTTTCATTGTCACTTAGTTCAGATCTTATAGTGAGTGTAACACTTAGTGATGTCAGCTATGTTCCACCTTTTAAAACCCTCCCCTAAACAGAAGGAAGAGAATTCCTTTCTTCACATCCAGTAAAATATGGAAATCATGGCATCTTTCTCCAGCAGAATGTTCCAGAAAATGAGAGTATATGCATAACTGAGGTTGAAAGGAAGTTTTGTGAAGGGGCAATTGTTGGGGTCAGTGTTGTGCAGCATCCTTCATGTGTGACCTTGGGCTGTTGGTGCCAGTCTTTGCTGTCTTACATGCTATGCTGCCTTGTGTTACTTGTTTCCTGCTAAAAAGGATGGAATTGAACAGAATGATTATGAACGCATTTGGAAATGACTGGGTTCTGACACCTGGCCGAAAGGTTCATGTTCTGCATTGAGCAAGGTGCTGTCGGTAAAGTGAGAATCATAAATGTGAAGCCACATAAAAGCAGTCGTTATTTAAATGATGAACCTTCATGTGAAATTACACTGGATGGTATGAGTCTGTGAAGTAGGATTTTCTGGGGGAAAATCAATATGGATGAGTCAGGAACTCACTGAATCCTATAGTGCATGTTGTGTCTATATGAACCGTGATGTGATCTCTTAGCCCTTTGAATCATTTTGCGTAAAGGACTTACATAGATTTTTCTTGGCTTGTTGGTTGGTGACTTTTTGTTAAGATTGTCTGCCTAGATAGAACAAAATGAAATAGTCTTTTGATCTTTTCCCTCCTTCCCTCCCTCCCTCCCTCCCTCCCTCCCTCCTTTCCCCCTACCCCTTCACATGTTTACAATGTAAAGGTCATCACAAAGCAGACTGGTTCATTTAGCAATTCAAATAATCCTACATTATCACAGAATGAATTGGAGACCATATTTCATTTTCCTTTCTTTTTCACTGATATCTGATACTGAGTATATCTATTCACTTAGTAAATGGTATGGCTTATAGTCAATATTTGTTCTGTCTGCATTCTAGACAGTGTCAGCCCCAATCCTAGTGATGGTAGGTGATCAGTAATGAGTACAAACTTTGAATGAGATTTGCCTTTGTTCCGTGTCCTCCCTACCTCTCTGGTCTGAATGGCTTGCCGGCAACTAGGAGCTAACTCTGGCATTACTCCAGGACCATGCTCTGGCCCACGCATTTGAGGCTCAGCTTCTCTCATTGAGCAAGTACATGCATCAGGCTGCTCCCTGTAGATAGAATGCAGCAGCTGGAAGGCCGCAGTCCCAGCGTGCAGAACTATTGGTAAGTCTCACAGAATAGATCAGGTTGCAACTGTCTTAAAGTATTCGCTAATGGAAAGTCTGGCTCAGGCAAGAGCTTAAATAATATGTAGACTCGGCATACTGTCTCCAAAACATGCAGCATTTATTAGCTGGGCATGAGCTGAAGGGAGGCTCCTGTTAAAAAAAAAGATCTTCATAATGATGAGCAAGGGCCCAGTATAATTTAAGGTATTCTTTGGAGTCCATAAATATGGCCTCATAAAAAGCCTGAATATAAGGGAACTGTGACTTTAAGTCATTAGAAGCACAGTGGTTTGATAAAATAACAGGAAACAGACAATTTATTATGAGCAGTCTCAGTAGCTCTGGATTACCTATAAAACTTTTACAGCCTTCCCCAAGTGGCAAGAAGCCATAAAACTTGCCTGAATGAGGGACTTGTTAATTTACTTGTTAAAGCAAATTAAAAATTTATAAGTGCTTTTAGGTAAATGAGATCTTCTCTCATTGCTGCCCTTGCAGGGCCCTGGGGTCCTAGGATGGGAGAGTGGCTATGCTCAGACACCACCGCAGAACAATAAAAGCTATTAAATTGCTCCAGTTTATTACAGCCGAGTGGTGCAGCTGTTGCCATGGCTAGCTGTGGGGTACTGGTGGTTGATAGCCTGGAGTTTCACTAGGCTTTCTGTCTCATTCAAAAGGAAAAACAGAACATTGGGGACAAAAAAAAAAAAAAAGCCAAGAAAAAAATGTGAATATCTTTTATTCCATAGTTTGTGTTATAGATCATTTCTTTCCCCTGTCTTGGCCTCCTGAATGCAGAAGTTTTTAACTACGTATTTTTAATCTCCAGAAATACTTCCCTTTAATTTCATAGTTTCTTAGTATTAAGGTCCTACCCATCATGATGTCTTTTAGTCATTTAGTTCTTAGATAAATGCCATGTTTTTATGACCTCATCAACAGTTCTTGAAAAAAATTATCTTTACCTTTTACATATCTAGCTTCAAAAGTAGAAGGAGATGAAGGAATCAGATGTATATCCTTATAGATTTGACTCTAAAAGACTGGGTACAATGAATATTTTTTAAGGTCAAAGTTTACAGGTAAAGGCAGATTTTTTTATACCCTACCTTGGATGAAATGTCAACTTAGGTTAAAATTCTTGAATCTAAACATCTTCTTTCATGCTTGTCTGTTTTCCACGTGTCAGATTTCTTCTGGAGGTAGAGGTTTCTGAGTGTTGACTTTGGGTGGCAGGGTCATTTTTCATCTGAAAGTCCTATAACTCAGGGCATGGCACCCTTGCCTCTCTT